CCTGATCGCTACAACCCACTTCTGTCCTGGTCAGTTGGGGCCCTGATGGCTACAACCCACTTCTGTCAAAGCTCGTCTTAGTCAGCAACACCTGTCACGGCTTAGGAAGTAGCTGAAGCATGAAGCCGTTTCCCAGTTGAGTGTGACATGAGATCACGTCTTCAGGCCCCGTCCTTGTTGGCTCTCCAAATGGACGTCCAGAACTGCGGTGCGTGCGACACAACTGTGAAATGTTCCAATCTCTCTCACACATCGACAATCTAGTTCATTCATGTTCATTCCTTCCGACTGGATGTGTCTGAGATAAGTTTGAAGAACTGAGATGCTGAGGTCTCATTGTTGAATGTTCGTGAGGCACGCTCAAAACCCCAAGGTCAACCGTTTCAAAGGAAACGCAAAAAAAACATGTAACATGTTCAAGGATTCATCGCTCATCCCAGCTTTGAGGAATTCACACTTGTTAGAACCCAAGACACACATCCTTGGCTCTATTTAGGGTTGGGTCAGAGTGATTGAAGGTTTGGTGGCTTCATCGGGGTACCTTCAAGGCATCACAAAAGGTGTCCACCAAAAGACCAAAATGGTTTGGATTTTGGAGAATCGTCAATCGGAAAACTAAAGTGACTTGGAAAAACATCAAAGCTGAAACTAAATCAACAAAACGGCATGGCAAACAGTAAAAATCGGCAAAACACAATAGTGACACTAAGGGAAATGTCTGGGAGACCATAGAAGTCAAGATAAATCATGATAAGAAGCTACTGGCCTTACTACTAGGAACAAGAACGCTACTAGGGGCTCCTGGCATCGCTACTAGGAGCATTCTTACTTGTAGTAACATGCGGTGAAGCATGATCCCAAAACGGATGCGTTTGGGGGAAGCGTCGAGAACCATGCTGGGCTATTGCCGTCCCGAATTCAGGCGCTGTCTCTCACGGAATTAAGTTCGATCACAGGCCCTAGGAGTGATCGGTGTGGCTACACATTCAAAACGAGGCCATTGTGGACGGTCGACATTCCGACATTCTGGTGTGCAGAAGGGGCAAACATTTAGTAAAGGTATGTCTGTGTCGCTTCGACTGTGGACCAGGTGGGTGGCCTTGGAGATCATGCTGCGACGTTGATGTCGCCATGTCTCATGGTCAGAGATGGCAGTGCCGTTGGCGACTCCTTTGAGCTTCTTGGAGGCGTGTTCGAGCGAGTTGAGCATTGGCCCGGTGGGAAACCACTTGTTTCTCTTCACGCAGCTGTTGCACTTTTGTGTTTGTGATTTCGACGACGCTGCCAGCAGCTGAACATGTGAACCTGTGGTGGCATTTGTTTCAGGCCATAGGGTTCCACACGCGTCGATCGCCCTTCCACAATGATGCACCGAATTCTGCTTTGGGCCAGAGTTGAAACACATTTTGTGCACGTGGCGCCGTAGCGTGTCTAACGAACGAGGTGGAAACTGCATCGTCGTTGTGGGTGCTGCTCCGGGAATTTGGCTTCTGCATGCCATAGCTTGCGCCAAAACAGATGCTATCAGATGTGCAAATGCATCGAAATGATGCGAAGCCCGGAGCATACGGCCCCCCACCGCAATCTCGCATATGGGCAGTACATGAAGTGGAGCTCGATACCAATCCAACTACAAACCACACAATTGAAGGTAAAAAATCGACACGTTTCAGGGAGTTGAACCGGAGGGGCGGGCACCCTAACTCTGTAACTCCAGCTAGTTGATGCATTCGCTGATGCTAGCTGATGCGGTTGCTTTCGTGCTTTGAGTGATTCGGCCTTGATGCCAACTGGGTGAGGCGCCAAAGACATCGACATCGCTCTTTCGCTCTGCCTGCGTGTTCGAGTGTTTCCCCGGAGTGCAAAGGCACGAAAAAAGAGACTTCAAGTTACAATTGCGGGAAAGTCGACTAATTCGTGAATACGTCTATGGACCATACAATGTCACTCAACGCAGTCTCGCCCAGCCTTTGCGTTGAAACTATATTGACCCGTTTGTCTTGAGCACCAGCTGGCAATTTGCGGCACTAGGCCTTCTTGCTTCTCCGGCGTATAGAAACGTGACAATATGAAACGCTGTATATACGTAAAAATGAGCGAGCATTGAAAGGCAAAGCATACCAAATCCGATTCAAATTTGAAATGTTAGTAAATTTCAAGCCTCACTACGCTCTGTTTTACGTACATCGGCTAGTGTTCATCATCAAAAAGCGGACCAGCTGCTTCTTTGATTCCTGAAAAACCAGCAAGACTTCACAAATCAAATTGAATGCGGCAAATCTATCACTATACTGCAGTCTGCTATGATTGCAAAGCTGCAATTCTGCAAAGACCCCATCTGCGGCACTTTAGGCCACGCAGTGAAACGCGGAAGGACTTGTGGAAGCAAGACTCTCCAACCGAGGAGAACTGAACTCGAAGAGCTCTGTTTTGACTTTGAACCTGAAGAGCCTTGAGAAAGGCTCGAGATTCAAGCCTAACATGGTTAACACAGATTCAAGCGCTTTTCTGGCGCAATTCCACACTCAGGTTTGGCCCCCTCACGGGCATCTCACCGCCTGCCAAGTTTGGAATCATGGTTACAGAAAAAGTAGACAGTAGACAAAATCAACATATATAACTCAAAGAAAACAAAAAAATCGAACACGAAGCGTGACGCTCATGATTCTTTGGTGCTCAGTGCGAGAGGTCCAAATGTCCAAGACTGGGCGAGCAAAGTAGTCGACACTCCGGGGTTGTAAAGGAAGCGTCCTCGTTGATAGCGAGTGAGAGGTATGGCTTCGAGAGATGGCGAATGAACACATAAACTGGATAAACAAAAGGCGATGTAGAAGAAAACAAGCTGAACAACCTTTGTGAGATGATTCATGTCCCACCTTTGTGAGATTGACTTCGGCCTACATGGCGGCCGGCGCTGGCCTGGCGAGCAAACGTCCGAATGTTCAGCTCCAAAAACTGTGAACAGCTGAACCCAAGACTGGGGCTGAGACGCGAATATATAGCAGAGAGCATTAGTATCGGCACCTCCTTAGTGTCGGAACGAGTCCATGGAGAAAACTTGGTGTAAAAATGTGTATAAACCTTGAGCATTGCTATTAGGATGGAGGCCATCGCTATTAGGTTGGAGGCCATCGCTATTAGGTTGGAGGCAATCGCTCTTAGGTTGGAGGCCATCGCTATTAGGTCGGAGGCCATCACTCTTAAATTGGAGGCCATCGCTATTAGGTTGGAGGCCATCGCTATTAGGTTGGAGGCAATCGCTCTTAGGTTGGAGGCCATCGCTATTAGGTCGGAGGCCATCACTCTTAAATTGGAGGCCATCGCTATTAGG